CATTTATGTCTGTGTTCTGTCTGGTATTGTTGACCCAGCAGGACCCATTTTGTAACTTAAAAGGCACACTCAGGAAGGGAATCATGTTACATGTATGTATTTTTGTCTGGATCGTTGTTTGAAGTATTTCAGGAAGCAGTTAAAAAAATTTCTTTTGGGACAGCTTACATTATGTTTTGCGTGATCACTGTTGTTGACTTTGATATGCTCTTCATCTTAGTCTAGCGCAGTGGCTTTATGTATTTTTGGCCAAGGCTAATATAGATTGGGTCTTTAAAAATGAAGCAATAGCTAGGATTTTCCCAGAACTCTACTAAAGAGTGTTTAAGCATAATGCTCTTCCTGCGTGGAAGGCTTTTGATGTTAAGCACTGTCTGGTCTCTTCACACACCTGCCGCAAATCCTGTGTTTAGCAGCTTAGAGGGGCCTGGCTCCCAGCAATTCAGCCATAGCGTCAGCAGCTGTGCCAGCCTGCAGCTGCTAATGTCTGGTGTTACCTCTGAGCAAATCTCATAATTTACCACTTCTGAAACAGGGAGGACCTCCTTCTTCCTCTTCGTTCTTCCATCTGTGTGCTCAGACAAGCTCCCTTGTACTGTGTTTGGTGTGTGCTAGACCATGTTGTCAGAAGAGATTCAGCTCTTACCTGGCAGGAAATTACCCCCTTTTATTCCCAGTTCCTTAGTGTTCTTTCTGTTCTGCAAAGCAACTTGTTTTACACAAGTGCCCCAGCTCAGTGAGAGGGTGCTTGCCCCAGAGTAAGCGGTGTGTGTGAGAGGAGGCCCTGCCATCTTTCAGCACCAGGGGTCAGATCTTCTCAAGTGGTGATGTGTGAATTGGAAACCTGGAGAGCCAAGTAATAATAGAGGCAATGTGAGTGGTCTTATCACATCACTTTCCTTACTGTGTGCTGAGAAGCTGGAGTCTCCTCTGAAAATCTCCTTTTTTTTTTTTTTTTTCAAATGGGCCTTGAAATTCCTTGGAGAAGGGAGGCTAAGAACACTGTAATTTCATAATACACAGGATTTATGAGGGCGATTCTGGCCCTTTGGCTTTCTAGGGTAAAAATTGTGGAGGATTACACTCTCTATTTCCACACTGCTGGTGTCAACTTGGTATTTTGGAGGAATTTTCCTACTAGATTGGCATCATTATAGCATTGTATAATCAGGATTTGGATGACCTGGTATTATTTCCTGGAAATAATTTTAAGTCTAGGTTCTTCTATAGTTTTAAAGCTATGCTGAATTTATAATTTTATTTATACCCCATTTGTTTATAAAACTATTGCTGCTTGATATCTAAGTAATTCTTTATTGCTGAAGCTTTAGTTGTCTGGGAAGTTTCTTCTTTATTGTGTCTTCAATTATGAAAAGCTTTATGGCAAAATCTACATCAAATTGTATTAAAGTAACTGGATTTGGATTTGTTGAGCCTGCTATGGACAGAACAGTAAAATGCAAGTAAAATTATAGGTGAATAGATTCAGTAAATTTTAGTAAGAGTGTTAATAAAACCAAACTTTGTTAAAAACTCTTGGAAATACTTAATTTTTACAGTGAAGTAGAAATTGGCATTAAATTGAATAATATTTTGGCAGCAATATTTCTTAGTCATTTAAAACCGTGATTCATCTTCAAATTTTGTTCTTGATGTTTTAACTTTATGGTTCTTAAGCTTGTGGAGGATGTTATTTCTGACCTGTGCAACAGGGAGAAGAAAGTGTAGTGATGGCACATTCACTTCTCAGTTTTTTGTGGACCAGTGAAGGCTAGAGACCACTTTGCATGTTTTACACTACTGTAAGTGTACTGTAATTCTTTGTTTTCAGTAATGGGTGATCAGCTATGCAACTTGCCAAGGCTGTCAAGACCCAGTACTTGCTGAGTCAGGGCTCCCCTCCTCTGCTGGGTGCTAATGTAGAATGAGATCAGGGTGCTATTTGTTTATAAATAATTGACTTGCTCATACCCGGCATGGTAGATCCAGCTGTGGATCAGAGTCTTAAAGATGAAAGCTTTCATGATTTCTGTCAGCTATTGAGGAGATAGCTTTCTGAGGAGCTCCCCAGCTCTGCTCTTGAAACAAGATGCTGCCTCTTAAACATGGAATCGGTTTAGAAACCGTAAGGAGAAATGTTAGGTCTTTTTGTAACTAGTGTGCATGTTGATTTGACTGGCTTGATTACTGAAGATTTTGTGTCCTCCCTTCAGAAATGAATCCAAGTCTAATTATGACCAGCTGGTTTACCAAATGGCATATTTCTTTATAGATCTGTCATCTTGAATAATTTTCTGCTGTTTCTGTCTGCTTTAACTCATCTATTCTATGTTAAATAAATAGAACACATTTGCAATTATTCATTTTTAGTAAACTAATGTGGAATTATAATGTTTAAAGTAAAAGGTCTGATTAACATTGGCCCAATATTATCTCCCACTCTTATTCTAACTCATCTGACTTGCTCCGAAATCCTATTTTATGTGCTGTCAGAATTTTTAAATTGCTCTTTCTATGCAAACAAAATTAAAACAAAGGCAACTATTAAAACCAACTTTCTGAAATTGTGGACATGATACTGTTTTTTACTTTGATGGTCCTTGACCACATCCTTTTGTGGTGGTATAACGAGACTTTCTTTTGTCCTTTATGTTAATTACATTGCAATTTACAAAGTATTCTTTTAACTTTCCTCTCAGTGATACACTGAGTGCGCATGTGATACATGCTATTACTTCAGTGCAGTTGGAATTGTCAGGCCTGTTTCAGTGTTTCTTTTTTGGCTTTGGGCATTGGTTGCTGTAAATGTTGTTAAAGAATCTATGTGAACAGACTGATTTTAGTGCAGTCTTTCTTACTTACGGTTAGTTTCAAGATGACATCACATTTATTTAGTGTTTATTATATCTTCATTCCTGTGGTCCATGCACGTGTAGAATGGATCTAAGCAAACATGTAATGCTGTCAGCATCAGATACATTTTTCCTAATTATATGAGCTAAATCTTTACAGTCTAAGCAACTGCAAAAAGCAATCTGTTCACAGGCCTGATAACAAAAGCTTGGATTTTTCACATACAGATACATTTGTTTTCCTTTAGAACACTGTAACAGAGCTTGTGCAGATGGGAAAAGAATAGATTTCTGGATCTTGAACACAATAAATCTTTTGATGTTTTATATTAATATTCTCAAAAGCAACTAGGAAAAAACTTATTTAGATTAATGTACATCAATTTGTGAGCTTTACTTAATTACTAATGAGGTGTGAAGAGCTTCCCTTCTCAGGAGTTTCTTTACTATGATGAGGTGTGAAGAGGCACTGATTATGAATGAAGTGTGGATTATTTTATTTTGAGTGTATTGATTTGGATTAAGACTCTTGAAAAGTGTGTGAACAAGAGGTTGGAAACTTCTTTAGGGTTGGTTCAATGTCAAACTGGTGTTTGTTAAATGGGGTTCTGCAAGGCTTCATTCCGTGTCTGCTCATGTTCAGTGTTTCTATTAATAATTCCAATGAAGGAGTAAAATATACAGTGTTAAGATTTGCAGACAGTGCTAAACTAGGAGGGTAGGCAGGAGGGTGGAGCGCAGAACACAGTCGCAACAAATGGGAGAAGGAGCCTGCAGTAAGGTGTAATTCAAGGTCAAATATAAGACAATTACATTTACATGGGAAAAATCTGCAGAGGTGTGTGGCTGGTTAAGCTGCAAATTTATAGACGGGAGCTTAATGGATGAGAAGGTACCAATTAGAAATGCAATCACACTGAAGAACTGGTTCTGTCTACTTCTGCAAGATTTGTACCAGCTGGAGAAAGTTCAAAGGAAAGGAATGAAGAAAGATGTGATTTTTTATTTTTTTTTTTTCTGTCTTGCAAAGAGGGCACTCAGGGGAAGCCTGGGTGCCATTAAGTAGAAAAGTTGCTGCAAACAGATCCATTTTAGGTGGGACAAGAAGAAAAACATTATTAAGAAGGAGGAGGTTTAATTTGGCCATTGAGAATAAAAATTGTGACTGATAGGGTAGATAGATTGTGTAATGCATTGTGTAGGAAGTGTGTGGAGAACAGTACAGAAAAAATATTGCCAGAGGTTTTAAGAGTATGGCGAAGGTTACTGAGCCTACTCAGTAGGGCTGCTGTGTAACCACTTGTCACAGCCCTCTTTTTTTAATTTTATTTTTTCAAGGCTGTCTTTGCAATGGAAAAAGATAAACGCTTTTTATCCAGCCAAAGTTAATTTATTCTTTTCAGTTTCTAGACAATAGAGAAACCTGCTTTTCACAGTGCTGAGGACTGCAATGTTTCATAATAATCCCTGATTGTTTAGCGTGAAATGGTTCAGTGATATTTATTGCACTTTACCAACTTCTCTTCTGATTTAACTTGATACACTTGTACTGAAAGCATCTCGTTACACAGGTGAACATGCAGCATCATGTCTGACTTTTTTAAAATTTTTTTTTATTTGGCAACTTCCTTGGAAAGAGCTTGGTCTTTTTTTATAGTTTGGATGGCTGTGCATTTCTGTCCTCACCTACTTAAATGCCTTTGTTCCTCTTTTTTCCCCTCACGTCTCTGGGGTGGTAATTTGGTAACTCTCAAACAGGTTGTCCCGAAAATTTGCTAGCTTAAATAAGTAACTTTATCAGTTTCATATTTTGTTAATTGTGTAAAACACAACTTTGAATCATTACCTTATTTATATTTGATTATCTCATAAAACGGAGTGGATTTTATTCAGAGGAAATGAAAAGTGGTAATGCCTTGAATGTTGGAGAAGCTGTCCCAGGAGCTTCCCATCGTATTAAACTAAACATTTTAGAATTTAGGGAAGAACTAAAACTACGGATTGAAGAATCTGTCCACCTTAAAAATACGTTTTGGCGACGAAGCGATGCCGGCAGCGACCAGCAGGTGGGGCGGGCAGGTCGCCCCGGCCCGCTGGTCGCTCCCCGCGGCCGCAGAAGCCGCCGGCAGTAAGTGATGGGGGGTAAGGATGTGTGCGCATCGCGGGGTGCGAATGCTTTGCTCATCCCAGGGTGGCGTTTCCTCAACATACAACGGAACGTATGAAAATCACGCGTGGGTATGAATTATTAGGACTTTGTGCCAAACGCAACTCCCAAGGAAAGTTATTTGTAGGAAGGGGAACACTCAGTAACGCTGAGCTAAAAATCTTGTGCTACTGGGATGAGTAGTCGGTCCCAGAGAACATCGTGCAGGGTTTTGTGTGGGTACTTCAAGTGAGAAATAGTGGGTATTTATGCTGAAGGATAAACAAATTTGTAGAAGCGATAAAATTTGGTTAAAGATTTATTCCATACAGTGTTGCTTCTGTTTGCCTCACAAAAGTAACTGGGTAGTTCCAGGAGCCCTGTTACAGGTTTCCAGCCAGTCTTATGGTGTTGCGCAGCCTTTTGTAGCTATCAGAAGGTTTAACTGTATTTTAAAGAAACAAAAAATTGCTGATTATTGATTCGGTGGTGATTTAGAGCCTTATAACAAGCACAGAGGAGTATTTTTTACAGGTTTTTGTAATCGAAGGATTTCAAGCCTATGTGATTTGGTGTTCTATAGTAAGGCATAGAGGGGGTCCATTTCCCACTGTTGTCTTTCATGTATGCAGTTCCTCTGTATTTTTTTGTGCATGTGTTTTTTTGTTATTTTTTAAAATAAGGCTTTAACTCTTCTGCAGGTAGGCTTAGTAATAGATCCTGCTGGTAAAACCCATAAATCTGCTGGAGTGTGTGAGAACCTTGCCTCAAGGTCCTGTTACTATTCCTGCTTCACTTTTCCCAGAGGATAACTGTACAGTTACAGACTGTACAGACTCTCTCTTTAACCCTGGAATAGCCAGGATTTCTGTCTTGTGGAGAACAAAGTGATGATTCTGGGCTACAGCTCTTCCTAGGCTACTGCTCTGTCACTGGCATCTTGTGAGGCCTTGAGCCTTTTCTGATTGCCCACAAACTAAGGGTTTTTTTTTTTGGTGTTTGGTTTTTTGTTTTTTTTTTTTTTCCTTTCTGTATTCCGTTTCAGACTGTATTACTCAGGTTGTGCTGGTTTGCTGACTTCACTGGCTTATTACGTTCCTCTTAATTTGTAACAGTAGGTGGAACACCCATGGAAACAACAAAAGTTTCTTTTCCTTTTACTTCACCCTAATTGTTAGCAAGGCTGTTAACAGATTATTGCTTCAGCATAAAATTTATTTATAGAGGTAAAATTAAAAAATGAATTGTGCTAATGAGAAAAGTTAGTTCCTTCAGTATTTTTCGCATGGCTCTTTGTACTTAGTTTCAGTTACTGTCAAGGATGGGGTTTTTTGGTGTGAATTTGCCTTGTGAAATACATTCAAGTGTAATACTGGTGGACTCAAAGCAGTTTCACTCCTGATGGAACCACAAGTGAAGTTGTCTGCCAGTTGTCCAGACAGTTGAGCATTGTCTAGAGCTCACCACTGCAAAATGGATGCAATGTTCTCCTGCAGTTAGTGTTCTGTGTGCACCTAGGGCTGGCAACCAGTGCAAACTGTTGCAGGTAAAGATGTGATGTGCACATAAAATCCTGGGATCATAGTGCATCCCAACAAATACAGCCCCAGTCCTCCTTTACCTTGTTGGTAATTTGTGCTTGTACTTTAAGCAAGTTCTAGATGATTCTTAGGGCTTCTTCACAGTAGCGTTAACTGCAGGATCAGAGCATCATTGTGCAGTAGCTCTTGGTTTTTTGAATTAAACTATAGACCAATTGCAAAATAAAATGACATTGTAACATTATTTTTTTTTTTTTTTTAAGTATGACATTAGGGCATTGAGGACCTCGGACAATAATTCTTCACTGCTTTAACTCACGTTCCATGTTGGGTTTAGGAAAGCACATTCTTTAAGGCTATTTGGAAAAGTATCTTTCAGAGGATTCCCCCCCCCAAAAAAAAACATTTGGAGATGAATGAGGAAGGGGTATTTGAGGTTTGAGTGGTGATCTCTAAAATGTCTGCAGTAAGTTACATTCAGATTTCATATACAAATAACAAAGAGGTTTTCTGAGTGAATGCAAAGACAGATATTTGAAAACATTCATGCTATTATACCACCCTAGTGTAGTTATAAAACAATTTCATAACGATGATTTAAAAATGAAACATTACTGCTTCTTGAGCCTCTCAAGAGGCTGATAGTCACAGAATAAACAATACGCAGTGGAGTTTTTCATGAGCACTTGGTAGGTTTACATCTGTTTATATAGAATTATTTGAGCCTTGTTTAATGATAGGCTTTTTACAGATGTTCCATCTAGATAGGAGTCATGTTTTTTTCCTTCAGCTGTAAACAGGTTTGAACATACTAACTTGTCGTGATCTAGACTTTTTCTCCTGTTATTTCATGTTGTTTTACTGCAACTGCAGTGATGCTTTTCAGGGAATAAAGTTTGGTTGCACCCTTATCTACAAGTTACATATTGTAGAGGTCATAGTTGTATGACTAATCTGTTTGAATTACCCATAAAGCATTTTAAAAATCAAGGAGAGAAATATTTTTTTTGCTATTGAAGTTAGTAAGACAGCTTCTAGAACCTTACTTTGTGAGCATTGGAACTGTAACAGTTTTATGTAAAAACTTCAAGAACAAGTCTCTTGTGTGCTTCATGAAATGTTTTTCCCTTTAACTGGAGCATCATTCCTGTTATGCAAAACATAGGTTTCAGAATAGGATGTCTCTCTTGGCTAATTCTATCTTTAGCTTACCCAAAGTGATGAGTTCCAGTATCCAATATTTATGAAGCAGTCTTAGGATTTCATCCCTTTTCAAAAATTCTCATCCTGTACAATAAAGACTAAAAGCTTTTTTTTTTTCATGCTACCTGTTCTCTCAGCTGCCCTTTCTGCTAATTAAGCTTCTCTTCAGCTTTGGTAGATCTCTCTAAAGGTCACCAATAGAGCAAACTAGTGAAGAGGATTACTCTTTGCAGGGATTTTTTTTTTTTTCTCTTTTCATGAAAGAACCTCTCTCGAGGTTCTTCCTTCCTTTGTCTAAAGGGAAAAAAAAAGCATTAGCTTTTTCCTTCAAGTTGAAAAAACGGTTTATAATTGAAATTTGAACTTGTACTGGAAGAGCTATGGTGTCTAGGCAAGCAATAAAGAAGTTGTTTCTGTTAATGAGAGGCAATGCTTAAAAATCACTGGAGGCTCACTACAAACTAGTTGATAAGTAAATATACTCGTATGAGAAGACTGTGAGCACATGAACTTACATGTATGACCTCATACCCATTAATGCTTTGGAAGAAATAATTTTTAACTTACTCTGTCATGTGTCACTGTAATGATGGAATAGATTTAACATTTGTCAACACTATTTAATCTTATTAATACTGTTGAAAAATCATAAAGTGCAATGCACAAAATATTAAATACCATTTTTTTTTGTCTTTGCATTCATTAGGTGTAGTCTGGAAAAAAATAAAGCATAAAAGCAAAAGGATTTGCAAATACCTATACTGACTTGTCTAAGTTGACTGCCAAGAATTGCAATTAAATCACTTTTACAAATGCTCATTTTCTGTTGAATGATTGGAAGGGGAAAAATCTTAACTAAATTATGTGAAACCCTGAAGGAGTAAGTATAATGAAAAGTGGTTTAATTATTTTCAGTGAGACAGCAAAGCAGATTGATGCGCTTATCAACAATAATTGTTTATTTTCTTGCCTTATTGTATCCTTTGTTAGCCACTGAAAATGCTGTTTATGATGCAGAAAAAATGTCTCTAAATGAAGCAATGTATTATTTTCAGCTCTTTCTCAAAATATATAGCAAAATCATCCTTGTGTCTGCCAGTTTACATTAGAAACAGCTTGTGCATAAGAGACATTAGCCCTGATGTTTGTTTTTTTTTAAAGGCAGTCAATGGACACACAGAGCCTGTTTTAGACACAGAGAGTGTATGATGAAAAGGTTTCAATCTGCAATAAGTAATGAAGGAAAGGATTTGGAGAATGTGGAGAAAATGAACAAGTTCAAACTGCGGTCTGTTTTCTTCCCAGTTTAAATACAAAGTCCAGTCAAGTTTTTTCACTTCTCTGAAAAGTTACCTGCCATTGGACTTTAAATACTTGTTGAACTAAATTTCCCTCAACTCCCTTTTTTCAGTCCTTTTGTACTTTATGTAAAAACATGATATTGTTATAAAGATAGAGCAGGAATTTTTAATCATGTGGAGTGTTGTAGGGTTTTTGTTTCTTTTTTTTGGTGTGTGTGTGGTGGTTGGGCATCTGCATGGCGCGTAGGCCACCACCTTCTCAAGTTCTGCGGGAGTGTCCGATTGCTGTATGAAGTAGAATAGGTCTGGCTGAGAAGACAGGCTAGATCACCCGTTTCGGAGTATGTAAAGTCACTGTATTCTCATGGGATGTGAGAATGCAACATGAAATGCGTTTTGCAGAGAAGGGAATTGAATTCATTTCCACTTTCTGGATAAACTGTAGTTTTGCAGTAGCTGAATAAATATGGATTGTATTTATTTACACTATCTCTTTGTGATGCTTTGTTTTGGCATTCTCCTCTGTTATGCCCCAGTCTCCATCTATTCTCAGGTCATTTTAGGACAAACAGAACTACTTTTGCTGGAGAAAGTTTCATGTTTCCATCGAAAGCGTACAGTGGTGATGTAGTTGTTAGAGGTTTTTGATAAATTCTCGTATTTCTGTTGCCTGCAGTTGGCCACTGCCCTGAGACCAAGTGCATGCCACGCATTGCTGGTATAGAATCCTGTTTCTGACTTACCTGAGTGAGGACAGTATGATGTCTCTACACTTTGTTTTTTGTCTGTGTTATCTTGATATTTTAATATGTAGACAGAATCCCCAAACGTGTTCACATCATTAATTCTCAAGCTATAGTATAGCAATTGGAGGACATACTGCTTTGAGAGCTATACTACTATCTAAACCGTCTTTGAGCTATACTATTAAAAGAGCTTGAAAACGAGGGCTGTAGTGTGTTGCTGCCTTTTGTTTTGGAGGAGCCATCATAGAGACACATCACCTGTCATACAGCTGTATTCTGAATTACAGTGCGTGTGGTTTTA